GAGGAAATTGGCCGTTGCGTTCGTTCGCAAAGCACGCAGTCACTACACTTAACGGAAAACGCCTTATCGCGTCGTTCCGATGTTCTCAAAGCGCTTTGCAGGGCTCTTAACGGTCCCTAATCCTTCGGTGTCAAGCGCCGTTTGCGAAGCAGTCCGACCGATGAGACGTTGTGGGACATCACTGTGCGTGAATTTCCTGCCCCATTTCGCCCACAAAATACACCATCAATTCAACTGAAGAGTATGAGTAGCGCTTTGAGAGGTCTCGACGACTTATAATAATAATAATAATAATAATAATAACGACTCGACGACTTGATCAGGGGCTGTGCCAAACGCAAGGCCGATGATTACAAGAGCGTTTTCTTGAATGATTATCTAAACCAACTGAACATTGTGATCGAGATCGGCAATGATTTTCTGATAGTGCCAGAAAAGGGATTGGCTTTAGAGCTTAACGGAGTGTGGCTAGTACAAAAAAAAAACATTTTCATTTCAATTTGGCTGGCTCTAGTTACTGCCAACAGAATTTAAAGTGAGCGTTAAACAAGCAGTGACAGACCGAGCCGGAGAAATAATGAGACACAACAAGGAAAGCTATCACATTTGAAGAGAGAAATTGAGTTTTTATAGCCCCTTTTATTCGTTTCGAGTCTCAACGCTTTAGAACAATTACTACCCAAAAAAAAAAATCCTTGCATTTCATATAACGCCCTGTGACGCGTCGGCAGACACCGCGCACGAGCAGTTAAATCGATCTGTAAAAGCTCCGTTTGCAATTAGTTTCTGACCTTTGGTTCCTAGTGTTTCACAGCGGGTGGAACCACTTACTGAGATGGACTCACCTTCCACCCCCCCACCACCAGCCGCCAACCCCAATCCCCCACCACCCAGCTTTTTTGGGAGACTGTTATTTACCACGCTGGGAAGTCCTGTAGCGTTTGAGGCGTCTCGAAGACGTGATAAGGCGCTGCACCAAACGCAAGGATTATTATTTGTCACCAGTGGATGAAACGGAATGTGATTAAATGTCAGCCATAGAGCGAAGGGTCTCACGGGCTCACTCAGGCTTTGCGTCCGCTTGTGTCTTTCCGTCAAATCTTTGCTGACCTTCAGCTCCTGCACACCCGAGTGCGCTGGAAGCGGATTCCGAGTGAGATCCTCGCCTTTGGCGTCACAGCCTTCGGGTGTAGTGACTGTGCGCTTCCCAAGCCAGCTGCGTACCAAGGTCCAGCAAACGGGCAGAGGGCAATTTCAGGACGGAAGCCAGCGAGTGTTTCTTTATTCTGGGGGTCGATAATAATATAACGTAATCGTGACGATAAAGTGGAGTGACTGTGTGTTTTGTGGGCGAGACGTTGCAGCTGGTTTGCGCGCAACAGTGTCCCACAAACAGCCGTGGAGGGGGCGACCAATTTTATTCGGGGAACTGTTGGCCGGGACACTGGGAGAGAAAAATTCCCTTCTCTTTACGAATAGCACAGTGGGATCTTTAACACTCAGCCGAACAGGGCACGGAAATGGGGAGCTTGGTTTAACGTCTCGTCCGAAGGTTTTGAGAGGAAACCCGTCTTAGGGGCGAGGAAGACTGGGCATAATTTCCGAGCTCCGCGTATACTTCAAGGCAGAAGTCTTTAAAAAGGTTCTTAAAGAGTTACTGCTTAATGAAATAGCACTGACACCAACTCTGTGTGATGCCGCCCGGTTGGCTTTCACCTGTTACCAGCGTGGTTCTCATGTGAAATAGCTTTGTATTAATTGCTTCCTGTGTATATTTTTTTTCCTCCCCTTAAAGCACGTTGCTGGACAGAGGATTAGTGTCAGCCTGGCTCAGCGGCAGCGCTCTCGCCTCAGAGTCAGGGGTTGTGAGTTCAAGTCCGGCCGTCGGAACTTGGAATCGCACAGTCCGAGCTGACCCTCTAATGCGGTCCTGGGTGGGTGTTGTGTTGTTGGAAGTGCCGTCCTTCGGATGAGATGTTAAACCTATCTGCCTGTTCAGGTGGACGTTAAAGATCCCTGGGGCGCTATTCGAAAAGAGAAGAATTTCTCTCTCTCTCCCGGTGTCCTGGCCAACACTTTCCACTCCCCCCCCCCCCACCCACCCCACCAAATAAAATTGGTCTCTCACTCCATGGCTTTTGGGGGACATTGGTGTCTGCAACCGGATGCCACGTTAAGATTAGAATCGCAACGAGCATCACCGGATTCTTCTGTAATGCTATTTTCTGGGCAACGGTCACCTTTTTAACCGTGTAAAAGGGTAATGCTTTTCATTTAAGCGCTCCGAGGCTCTACGCGGCACGAAAGGGCGCTGTTTAAACGCAAGTTGTAGTTTATATCCGATCGAATCCATCGGGGAACAGCAGCGGATGGTTTTAGAATCGTGGAAATCCTGCAGCACAGGAGGAGGCCATTCGGGGAAGGCCATCGGTGCCAGCTCTTTAAAAGAGCTACCGACCAGCCCCGCTCACTCCCCCGCTCTTACCCCATAGCTCTGCAAATTTATCCTTTTCAAATTACCCTTTTGAGAGCTACTGTTGAATCTGCTTCCACCATTCTTTCAGGCAGATCATAACTCCCTGAGTAAAAATGCAGTGTCCTTGCCTTCCCCGTGTGATCCTTTTGATTGCGATCACTTGGCAGAAGGGTTCCTCTGGGTGGGATGTTGCAGATAACTGGCAAATCTCCTGTTATTGGGGCATAGCCTTGGGCTCCACAAACTGCGTGTATTTTCGGAACTGTGGACTGCGATGAGATGTTGACAGGCAGAAAAGCAAAGACAGCTCTAGTCAGATCTGTCCAACTCACTTCTTCCTGTTCGGGCTCTTCACGTCACCTCGAGTTAGTCTCAAATGAGGTATTTTTAACCAAAAGCGGAGGCTTGTCAACTTTCTCCCCTCGCGGTAATCCTGGGACGTCCTCCTGACGTGAAAGGGGCTATAGCGCAAGGATCGCTATCGCTCTCGTAATGTGTGAGCAGAGAGAAAATAACAACAATCCTCACGTTCGACACAGCGCCCTATCACGTCTTCGAGACGTCTCAAAGCGCTTCACGGAATCTACTGTAAAGTGAATTGACGGTACACTTTGACATCGATAGCCGCTTATCCAACGCAACCGCCGTATCATGTACCAAGCTGATGAATCATTCAACGCCGTGGCGCCGATTGGGTCCAGGGTGTGTGTGTGTTTTTTTTTTTCCTCCTCCCAGTAAAAATGTCAAATAATTGACGTAATCAAACCGGTCACGTTTCACTCGATAGGAGAGTTAGCGGGGCAGAGATGGGCAGCTATGTATCATCACCTCTCTCTCTCTCTCTCTCTCTGTGTGTGTGTGTGCAAATCTCTGCAATCTCCCCCCCGCCCGCCCGTCCGCCCCCAAACCAAGATGATATCTGCTACAGCAGATGTGCTGCTGCCGAGAGGAGAAGTCTATTTTTAGTCGGGAGCTATTACTCTGCCAGCTGTAAACTTACCGCTGGCTGTAAGTCATCTTTCCCAGCAACATTTTAATAAACTCCCATTTCCTTTTGAGATATTTCCAGGGTTCCATTGCAAAGGCTATTTCTCCGTGTACAGACATATTTTTTTCGTGTTACAAGGTCCGAGCCAGTGTTAAGTGAATCGACCTGCGAGGCACGGCGACACCTTCTGCATTCGCAGTGAATCTTCTGCTGCCGCTCTGTGCTTCGGGCTGGGCTTACAGTTCGGTTCCGTGCTTTCATCACCGCTCGTGCTCACCTCTCTTTTGAGACGCCTGAAAGCGCTTCGCAGGACACGCTGTCAAGTGAAGTGACTGCATAGTTTGTGGGCGAAACGCGGCAGCCGACTGCGCACAGCAGCGTCCCCACAAATAGTCGTGGCTCGAGTGACCAATTTATCATTACTGTCTTTTTTTTGAAGGGATTATTACCCACACCCCCCACCCCCCCACCCTGGAAAAGCGATCCGTCGATCGACTAACAACCGGGTTCCTAAATACTGCCGGGTAAACAGAGGCGTGTGTGTGTGGAGTGAGGAAACTTGCGCAGTGGGATTCATTGCAACAATATTGTGCGCAGACCCTGATTCCACCTGTGCTTTATGCCATTTGCGTTCACGAGTCTCTCTCTCCCCCTCTCTCTCTCTCTCTTATTGCCGGCTCAAGCGTGACCTTTTCCTTTAGCGGAGCCTCTCTCCTCCCCTCCCTGTTGTGATGGCTGCGCTCGAAAACCCCGGGTCTCCGCTCCTCGCTGTGAGCTGTCACAATTCCACGCAGGCAGACTGCGGACACGCAGCAGGCCGACGGCAGAAGCAGTGCATCGGCGCCTGCGAATCAGGCGTGCGTGAATCGCGCAGCTCGCTCCGCGCTGAGGGCAGTCACCGTGCAACATTGGGTTTACTCGTGCTAGCAGCAGCGTGCGGAGTGCGATGGTTCCAGAGTTTCTCAATTGCCGGGTCTCGGAACTTCCTCACGTAGTTGACTCAATATCCGAGGTGGGGAGGGAGGAAGAGCAGGGGGAGGCGGTGTTGGTGGGGTGGTGGGGGGGGGAATTGAGGGGAGGTAGGAAAGCGTGGGCAGCTGCGAGAGAAACTGAAGAGGGTCGGGGAGGGTGGAAGATGACTGAAAGCTCGGTCGAAGATTTAAGCCTTAAAGCGGATGCAAGGGAACTACAACTTGCTTTTATGTAGCGTCCTCCGTGAGGATAGCAGCCTCGGAGTGCTGAAACTGGGGAGGGAGGGACGGAGTGGGAGAGGGAGAGGGAGTGAGGCGAGGTTGAGAGGAGGCGGAATAGCTGAACGCTTGCTCTCTGCCGAAGGCAAGTATTATTATTATATTGTGAGTACTATTTGACTGAGTTTATGTGTTTTTGATGACTTTCCACCAATTGGACGGGGGGTGGGGGGTGGGAGGTGGAGAGAGAGAGAGCCGGGATGGTGGGGTGGGGGGGTGGGCTTACATGGAGGATTCGTGGTGTACTGGTGTACTGACCCTTAAAACTGTGTGTTTTTTCCGCTAGCAATGCAGCAAGTGCTGGACAACCTGAGCGAGCTGCCCAACTCAACCGGAGCCAACGACCTGGACTTACTCTTCCTCAGAGGCATCATGGAGAGCCCAATTGTACGATCACTGGCTAAGGTATCTCTGTGATCAGTGGAGATTAGCCTCCGCACTGTATTGTGATTCTCTCTCCCAACCCTTGTCTTGCCCGTTCCAGCCGGAACGGACCGTGGGTTAGGAACAGGAGTAGGCCATTCAGCCCCTCGAGCCTGTCCTGCCGCTCTATTAGATCAGGGTGGTCCAACCTTTTAGCTGTTGAGGGCCAGGTGCCTTATTTGAAAAACAACCCTTACGCCATTTGTGGGGGGGGGGGGGGGCAGGGTGGATGAAATTGGCCCGCGGGCCGGATGTGGCCCATGGGCCACCAGTTGGATGATCCTGTACAAGATCATAGCTGATCTGTAGCTCAACTCCAATTACCCGCCTTTGCTCCATATCCCTTGCCACGCTGACCTGAAAAACGGTGAGACTTCTGAATTACCCTCTCCTTTGGGCGTGAAAAAACGCTTAACTGATTTCCCCCCTAAATGGCCTAAAACTAATTCTAGAATGACCCCCACCCCACACACCCCTCATCCCTCCTCACCTTGTTCTGGGTTCCCCCCCCCTGTGCGCTAGAGGCAATAGTTCCTCTGTATCGACCCTCTCGATAAAATAAATAAAATTCCCCGGCAGCCAAACAAAAATAATTAAAGGAAATGTGGGAGGAGGTCGAGTCTGTAAAGCTTTGCGCGAAACGAACCTCTCGCGGTTTTACCTGAGAGCGAGCAATCAACAATTCTTCGCTTGGACTGACTAAGTCGTTGATGTTTGCGGCTTGACAACAAACGGGAATCACAATACAAAAAAAATCTCTGCTTTCCAAAATCCGAATGTTGCTGTAATTGTAAATTATATTATATTAGCTTCGCACCGCAAAATATACGGTCAATTCCATTTGCGGTGTATTCTGTGAAGCGCTTTGAGACGTCTCGAAGACGTGATAAGGCGCTGTATCAAATGCAAAGATTGATATTATTAATACTATATTAATTGTATTATTAATACTATATTATCTTGGAATACAGCATATAGTTTGGGACTATACATAGTATATATTATTATTATTACTGTTAAGGGTATAGACTATGTAGTATATTGTTAAGGGGATATAGTGTCCTGTTACACTATCTTGCGTGAGGGGTGCTATATAAATGCAAGTTAATGATAATCCCTCCAAAACCAAAAACAATAATAAATTGGTCATTTTCAATCCGCGACTGTTTGTAGGACATCGCTGTGCGCAATTGGCTGCCGCGTTCGCCCACAAACATACAGTCAATTCACTTTACAGTGTGTTCTGTGAAGCGCTTTGGGACGTCCTCCCGACGTGAAAAGCGCTCCATCAAATGCGAGGATTATTATTATTATTATAAGTTGTTGTTCTTGCAGTACACTGTTGAGGGGAATGGAATGAGAGAAAGACAGAAAGACAGAAAACAGAAAGACGTTTTTTTTGCCAAGCGCTGGAGAAAGGATTCCCTCCTTGCTTCCCCACCACCCCCCCCCCCCCGCCCCCACCCAAAGGCAAACCCAGCTCCGCTCGTTGAACTGAATCATCCGAGATCTTTGTCCCTGCTTTTCTGTAGAAGGAGTTTTGATAGAAAAACACATTAATCTGCTGCTGGAACAAAGTGAGTCACAGACAGTGCACACGTTCCCAAATGCTGCTGTGGGTGGAATATAAAGTCCCATTGGAAGCTGATTCGGCCTCGTGCTGATCCCGTGGTTGATATTTCCCTTACCTGTTTGCTTTGTTCAGCAGTCAGTAACGCTCTCCAACACCGAACATAAGTATTTGCCGGACGAAAGAAGACCAAGGTCCATCCAGTTCGCCACTCGGCCATCCTAGTCGCTTGCACGTGTACACGTGACGTCCCACACCGAGTCCCACAATATTATTTCCTAAAAGAAATCGTCCTGATCTGCTTTTGAAAGAAGGAATCAACTCTTTCTGCTTCCACCCGTCTCCCCAGAGAACCTTTTTAATTTCCCCCCGCTTTAACCGCAGGCCGTGTTCCTTTGGTTCTACTGTTCTGGACAAGATAAAATAGCTTATCCTGGTCTACGTTACCCGGTCCCTTTTGAACCTTCAAATCCGAATCAGAAGGTTGGGGTTTCGAGGTTATGTCGGGACTTTGAGCTCACAGTATAGGCTGACGCTCCAGGGCAGTGGTGAGGGGAGCGCTGGGGTAATATAGCATCCTTCACCCAAGGATAGCGTCTCAGAGCGCTTCAGGTAAGTCAGTGTGTGTAAGATGGTGCGGAATTATGGATTAAGATTGAATCTTCAATTCAATCTTAACCCACAAGTGGCTTTCCTTTAAGAACTGCGGAAGAAAACGCCTCTCAAATCGAAATTAAATCAAACAACATTCCACAGTTCTGATGCACCTTAAATTCTTAAGAAATAACCATCTCGTAAGGTGAGATAGTCAGTTCTTAAGGTTGGGTGAAACTGGTTAGACTTGGTGAAAATCCAGGCCTTTCGGACCGGTGAACCGACAGAATTTCCCCCCCCTGTGATTTTAATGGAGAACTTTTGCTAAACTTTGCCACGTGTGTGTGTTTTTTGTGTTTTTTTGGTGGTGGGGGTCGGTGGGTGGGGGCGGGGGGTGGCGTGTTGTGACAGGCTCACGAGAAGTTGGAGGAGACTAAGCTGGAAGCCGTCAGGGACAATAACCTGGAACTGGTGAAGGAGATCATCGAAGACATCACTCCCATCACCAAGGCCAGCGAGACAGCAGCCGAGCTCACCCAGATTCTACAAGAACCGCACTTTCAGGTGAGAGAGCGCGCGAGTGTGTGTGTGCGCGCGCGCGTGTGTGCGCGTGTGAGTGTGTGTGGGTGTATGTGCGTGTGTGTGTGTGAATGGGTGGATGTGCGTGAGTGTGTGTGTGTGTGTGCGCGCGCGCATGTCCGTGTGAGAAATGGGCTCAAAAGAAGAGATCTTTAAAGAGAATCAGCACAAGACGCAATGTTTTGGTCTTCTTCCACGCTATACATTCCCCAAACTCTTTGCGAGCGCTCAACTCAGCCGTCGTTTCGCACGGCAAACAGCCACAAAACTGCTCCAGCTCCTATCGTCCCCCCACAACCCCCCCCCCCCTCCCACCGCATACCACCCCCCACCACCCCTCCCGGCTACAACCCTCTGTGCGCAGCCCTAAGTGAGAGGGTGTGGGGGGGAAATTCCTTCGAGGAATTCTGTAGATTAAATCTATTATCTGGCTCTCAGAATAGGGCAGAATATAATAATAATCCTCGCATTTGATACAGCGCCTTATCACGTCTTCGAGATTCAGTGACCTCAAATGCTGGTGATGGGTTCAATGAAATTCCAGCGTTAGTTATTCTACGATACCCACGAGGACGCAGATATAATCCACATCTATCAAACAGAACGCAATTATATAACGAAATTGGCAAATAAAGTCTCTCCCTTCTAACGGGAGATAAGGGAATCGAGTAGTAAGTCCCGCCGACGGGTTTCGGCAACAAAGAAAGTCCTGCCCTGAAGGGGAGAGAAACAAACAAGCTGCGGTTTCGAATAAATAAGAGCTATATTTAACGAAGAATCTTTCAAAGTCACCGAGGAGAGGATTGAGGGACAGTAAGGTCACTTTGACCAGGTATCCCTTCACTCCCTGGCACCTCCCTACCTCACTCCCCAACCCACCACTCGGCTCCTCCGGCCGACTGGCACCGGCCTCCTGCTCGTCCCTCGCGCCCTCCGCTTTATCATCGGAGGACGTGCTTTCAGCCACTACGCCCCAAAGCTCTGGGACGCTCTCCCTGAATCCTCCCGCCTTGCCCACCCCTCTCACCCCTTTTGCAAGTCCCGCCTTAAGATCTTCCTCTTTGAAGTTGCTTACGAGTCACCCTCCCCACCTCCCCCTCCCTCTCTCTCCCCTGCAGTCGCTGCTGGAAGCTCACGACTCCGTTGCATCCAAAAACTATGACACGCCACCACCCAGCCCGGAGTCAATGATGGACACGGCGCTTAACAACCAGCCCGTGCCCCCAGACGCTGTGAGGATGGTGGGCATTCGCAAGACCAAGGGAGAGCACCTGGTGGGTACAATGGCTTCTATTCGCACCCACCCTCCCCTGTTCAGGTGCACGATAAAGGTCTCCTTATTGTAATAATAATAATAATAACAATCCTTGCATTGGACCCAGCGCCTGATCACGTCTTCGAGACGTCTCAAAGCGCTTCACGGGATACACTGTCAAGTGTAGCGACTGTGTGTTTTGTCGGGAAACACGGCAGCCAATTGCGCCCGGCGACGTCCTCCCACAGACAGTCATGGATTGAAGTGACCAAATTATTGTGATTATTTTTGTTAGGCATTGTTATCCCCGGAAACGCCAATCGACTAACAACCAGGTTCCTACTTACTGCTGGATAAACAGAGGCATGTGTGTGTGTGTGTGCGCGTGTGGAGTAAGGAAACTTGCCCAACATTTTGCCCTGGCCGGGAATCGAACACAGGTCCTCTCGCTCGCTGGGCGAGTGCTCTCACCGCCGAGCTACAGGACTCCACGGGCGACGGGCAAGAATTGCCAGCGGCTGACTCGTGTTGCGATCTTTACAGGGCGTTACGTTCAGGGTAGAGGGAGGAGAGCTGGTGATCGCTCGCATTCTCCACGGAGGCATGATCGACCAACAGGGCCTGTTGCACGTGGGGGACATTATCAAGGAGGTGAACGGCAAGGAGGTCTGCAACGACCCCAAGGTGCTCCAGGAGATGCTCCAGAACGCCAGTGGGAGTGTCATCCTCAAGATCCTCCCCAGTTACCAGGAGCCGCAGCCTCCCCGACAGGTACAGGGTAAAACCCCGGCCATCGGCCCATGTAATTATTATAGTCGTCACTTCGTCGAGACCTCGCAAAGCGCTTCGCAGGATTGTGCCGCAAAGTGGAGTGACCTTTCGGGTATTTTGCGGGCGACGCAGGGTTGGGGTTCAGGGAGTGACGTACGACGACAACAACAGCTTGCACTTATATAGCGCCCTCCGCGCGGGGTAGCTTCTCAGAGCGCTTAGGATTCACGGTTAGATGGACGCCAAGGGATCGAGAGGCCGATCGAGGTCGTGGGGCGGTCGTGCGGGTTTCTCAATCAGAACGAGGCAGGAATTTTTTTATGCGATGCATGAGGGACGAGACATTATAACAATAATAATAATAATAATCCTTGCATTTGATATAGCGCTTTTCACGTCGGGAGGACGTCCCAAAGCGCTTCACGGAACACACTGTAGAGTGAATTGACTGTATATTTGTGGGCGAACGCGGCGGCCAATTGCGCACAGCAATGTCCCACAAACAGTCGTAGATTGAAAATGACCGATTTATTATTGGTTTTGGTTTTGGAGGATTATTATTAGGCTCTGTGTGGAGTAAGGAAACTTGCCCAAGGTTTCGCCCTCTGCCTGGAATTGAACTCAGGTCTCTCACTTGCAAAGTGAGTGCTCTAACCACTGAGCTACAGGACTACAGGCAGAGCTTGCAGTCAAAGCAAACAATCATAAGGGCTCGGCGCCCTTCACGCAGGGAGGGCGTCACAAAGCGCTTCGCGGGATCGTCAAGCGCGCAGTATAGTGACTGCGCGTTTTGTAAGCGAACGCCTCGCTTTTCACCCACAAATATCGGTCAATTCACTTCACAGTCTATTCTGTGAAGCGCTTCGAGACGTCGAGAAGACGTGAAAAGCGCTGTATCAAATGCAAGTATTATTATTGTTGTTATTATTATTATTATTATTATTATCCCAGGAACTGGTTCTGTTTTGTAAGTAGAAACTCTGGGAGCCATCAGCGTTAACAAATCCTCTCCCCCTCCCCACCGCCCCACCAATCCCATCTTGCTCAGTCAGGGACATGATCCTCTGTCACTCCGGGATAATGGATGTAATTACGACTGAAGCAATCTTTTGAAAGCCCTAATTTATCCTCCTCCGGGCTGCCACAAAGAGAGTCTCTCTCTTTTCTGCTCTTCTTTTTTATACGTATCTGTGCAGTGACATTTCCAGCCCCGCCAACCCATTGCTCTCGTTACATCGACGCCCGTGTTTTTACAAGACGCCAAGCTGTTTTTACAAGCTGTTCCCCCTCTTCGCTAGACGTCTCTATGGCTCCTTTCCATCTCTGCCTCTGGAGAGTGCACCCACCTCGCAAGCGAGAGGACCCGGGTTCGATTCCCAGGTTAGTTTGCTCACTCCTCTCGCCTCTGTTTCCCCGGCTGTAAGTAAGAACCCGGTTGGACGATTGGCAGATGGCTTTTCGGGGGTAATAATCCCTTCAACAGTACATAATAATTTGGTGACTCAATCCATGAGTGTTCGTGGGGACACCTCTGCGTTTCGCCCGCGAAATGCACGGTCGCTCCGCTTTGCAATATGTGGTGCGAAAGGGCTTTCAGCCGTCTCAACGACGCGATAAGGTGCGGTGTCACACGCAAGGATTATGATCATTATTATCATCGTTGTTCTAGAGAAGATCACGTAGGCAGGTGCGACCAGGCGGAATCCATTGCGGCATGTCTCAACGAGAAGAGACCCTGTCTCGTCGAGGTGCCTCAGCGTTTCGTCTGTCAGCGCGCCTCGCCTCAAAAAGGCTTCCACGCTTCCGAGACATAATTAAAAACCCACCGATCAGGAGAGGATGAGGTGGAGCTCTCAATGTTGGACCAAACCCACACTGTTATCCACACACCACATGTCAGTCAAAGGCTCGACTTTATTCGTTTTTTAAAAAACGACGGTTCGACTGTGAAGAACAATAGTAAATACCGCAATTTAACGACGAAAACATTTTTTTTCGTGAGGCCGTGTCCCAATTATTTTAATCGGCTTATACTCCCCCGCCGCTGTGTGTGTCCCTTTCGGCTCCTCTCAAGTCTGGTACTGGGGTACGTTTCCGTGGGTTCTTCTACCCCAAAGGGTGAGGGTCGGGTGGTCCTAGCTGGACAAGCAGTGAGAAGCTTGCCCCCCGCAGTGCTCTCAATGGCACCCTACCCATTTTTTACCTGATTTAAAAGTCCTAGCGGTAAATAGACACCCGGTTGTCGGTTGATTGGCGGATCGCTTTTCCGGGGGTAATAATCCCTTCGAAAAATAATGTTTGTGGGACACCGCTGTGCCCAATTAGCTACCGCTTTTCCCCCACAAAATACACGGTCACTACCCTTTGCAGTGTATCGTGTGAAGCGCTTTGAGACGTCTCGACGACGTGATAAGGCGCAGTGGCAAACGCAGCGATGATTACTGTTCTATTGAGGAGCATTAGCTTTCTTGACAAAGGTACGAATTGTATTGTATTGTATAAAGGTGAGTGGTGAGTGATTCATGCTGCGATTTAAACTTGCAAGAGCAGGAGGATGTGTGTCAGCTCACACCCAGCCGCTATTTGCAGGTTTAATATATTTGGATCACTGGGTCAGCTGTGGAAGACGAAAGATGGTATTAAGTGGTTTTAAGTGCGGTGTAAATGCCTTTTCTCTCCCCCCCCCTCCCCCACCACCCACAAAACGCCGCCAAGCCTGACCTCTCCCCACCTGGCTGCTACATGCGTGCGCGCGCACGCACTTCACCAGTAAAGGGTGCTGTAGAGGGGCCAGGAGCAGGGACCCTAGCTGACTACCTCCTCCCTAACCCGGCGAGACTGTGAGCTCGAAGTCCCCGACGTGGGGCTCGAACCCACAAAACCCCCTGACTTCGGAGGCAAGAGAAACAGACAGTGAAGGGAGCACTGGCTGAATCAAGTCATTATCGTTGGCGCAGGCGTGGTCCAATTTTAGTAGGACCACAAAAACCAATGGATGTAGGAAATGACTATTTATTCCAGTTCAGTGCCCCAGAGCAGCAATGTGGAGGACTTAACAGCGTCAAACCCAAAGGTTGTATTTGACAAGGAGACACTTTGTTAAAATTCTATTACCAGACTTCAATAAAAGGAGTGAAATCCAATTGAATGCTTTCCTGAGGCTACAGACTGGATCCAAAAGCAGTCAGCCTCATACGTACTTAATTAGAACACACAATCCCACCCCCTTCACCCCCCCCCCCCCACCCCCAGCCTACGGAAAGTCATTTCAGGACATTGGGTATGACGCTGGTAGAACGTCCCAAGGCACCGTTATTATTTGTTACAGCGCCTTTCGCTTCAAGGGGACTTCTCAAAACTAAAACGTTTCATTTTGAGTCATCCCCCCCACCCACCCACCCCCCCCTCACCCTGGAAGTGAAGGCGTTGCATCGACCAATAATAATAATAATGGTCCTTGCATTCCATACAGCGACTTATCACGTCGTCGAGACGTCTCAACCAATTCACAGCACGTACTGCAAAGTGTACGGTTTGTGCATCTTGTGGTTATACGGTGAACGAATTGCTGAATGAACCCACTTCCCTCCCGTTTCACAGTCGCTAAGTCGTGAAGCTGGGGAGCAGATAACCCGACCGGCAGACGGACGGACAGACAAACAAACAGACTGTCCTACAAATATTAATGGCCCTCTGCGTTTTCTCTGTGTCTCTTAAATAAACGAGTGTCACGTCCTTCAAACCCCCCCCCCCCGTCACATTCCAGAGTGCTGGAATTCTATAACGGGACGACAATGCCGGCGTTCGAAGGTTGTACAGCAAGAAAAGAATGTTCCAAGCTTGTACAGCAACACAACACAGTAATCGTTTAGCCCAGTGCCTACTAACACTTGTGGCGTAATTTGTGACTCGATGCATTACTTGGATCGCGAGAGAGCTTTTAATTTTAATTTCACATTCTGCCTCAAAAAACATGACACGGCCCTATATCAAAGTGCAAGGATTATTAGCGTTATTCCTATCGCGTCTTCGCTCCATTCCAAAGTGCAAACGCACCTCCACCGTTCACAGATCCTGACACTTGAGAATACGATGAGGTACAATTTACCTTCACACAGCACCTCTCACGAAGGGGAGCACAGAGCACTTGGCATTCCTGGCTGGATGGACGTGGAGCTGAGGGCTGGGAGGGAGGGAGGGAGGGAGGAGGGTGAGGTGAGGAAAGTTGAATGAAAGCGTGTTACAAGATCCCACCGCGCTCTTTGAAAAGAAACGGCGGTTCTACCCGGTGTCCTGGCCAACAGGTAAACGTCGTGGCTGTTTGTGGGGACGCTGCTGTGTTGGCAAATTGGCTCCCGCGCAATTCTATAAGGCGCACAGTCCAATTTAACCTGGAGGGCTGTTGGCCACTTTTCAGGAGGTGCTACTGGGTCTTGTTAAAGCTCTCCGAGACGCTAGCCCACGTGAAGGGCGCGGTGTAAATGCAAGTTGTGTTGTCGCCTTTCAACATCCAATTGAACGGACCTCGGTTTAATGCCTCATCCGATACGAGGTCGCCCGAGGATTCAAGCCGCGACGTGTGGGTGGGGGCTTGAACCCGCAACCTTCCCGACTCGGGGGCGAGAACGCTAACGGCTTGAGCCAAGGCTGACACCGACCCCCACCCCCTCCCCCCCTCCCCACCATGTGGGTCACGGAAGTTCGAGTGACCCCTCTGCTCTTGTTCACCCCTTCAGGTCTTCGTGAAGTGCCACTTTGAATACGACCCCAACACTGACAACCTGATCCCCTGCAAGGAAGCTGGTTTGAAGTTCGCCTGTGGGGACATTCTGCAGATTGTGAACCAAGAAGATCTCAACTGGTGGCAGGTTAGTCCAACCACGCATGTGTTGGGCTACCACCTAGTGGTCACGGTGCACAAGACCATAGAGGATACATAATATATTAAGAATATTAATATGATAACTAATAATAATCCTTGCATTTGATATAGCGCCTTATCACGTAGGGATGTGTGTGTGGGTAGACGGAGTGGGAATGGGGAGGCCTGGGGGTGGTTGTAGGGTATGTGGGTGGAGGGAAGCCTGGGTCCCGGTGCGGGGCAGTCGAGGGGGTTCTCTGTCTCTGTCTGGTTCGTGATCAGCCTGAATAGGTTCACGCTCGTTCCCCATCCAGGCTTGTCACACAAAGGAGGGTGGGAGCGCAGGCCTGATTCCTAGCCAGCTCTTGGAGGAAAAGAGGAAAGCGTTTGTCAAACGGGATTGGGATTTCTCCACTTCTTCAGGTCAGTGCCGGGTAACTTAACAAGCTATGTATCTCACTCTGCCTCCCTCCCTCCTTCACCTCGTTCAAGGTCCGTCTCTTCGCCCGTGCTTTTCGGTCATCTTTACCCTCCACGCCCACACACACCCCGCCCCCTTCACCCTCGGCTCCGACTTCCAGCTCGGGAGCTAAGTCAGGGAGAAAGGGCGGAGGGATTGAGTGAGGGAGTTCCAGAGCCTCGGACGTCCGTAGCGGCTGAAATGGAAAGTGCTGTACAATTACTCGTGTGTCGGATTGTAGGAGCTGATCTGGTTTAGGGCTACAGTTGGCCTCAACGCTTCTCATTCGAATGTTGGCATCACACCAAGTGACATTTTGCAAGCCTCATTCCCTGTGCTGTATTTTCCATTGCCTTTTGTTTCTCCTGAATACACACGTACTCTGCTCTCAGGGTGAACACGTTGCTCTCTGTTTCAGGAGGGCTGTGTGGGAGCATGGGGGGCAAAAAGAAGAAAAAGATGATGTATCTCACGACCAAGAATGCAGGTGGGTCCGGTCTGATTGTTGCTCATTGTATGATCAGCGCAAGCGGGCTACCTGTTTCTCAGGTAACTAGGCCGCGAAATCGGAGCCTGGGGGTGGAGTGGTTGCCACTGTCCCGTGGTGTAGCGGTTAGAGCCCTCGCCTCGCGAGCGAGAGGACTCGGGTTCGATTCCTGGGGGGGGCCAGGGCGAGATCTTGGGCCAGTTTCCTCAATCGACACACAGGCCTCCCTCCGTTTATGATGTGAAAGGCGCTATCCAAATGTAATCTTGTTGTTGTTGTTGTTGTTGTTTTTCCTCGCTGTAAAGTAGGGAACCCGGTTGTTAGATGACTGGCGGATCGCTTTCCGGAGGAGATTAATCCCTTCGAAAATAAATAAATAAACAAACAAACAATCAAATAAATGGGTCACTCAGTCCACGACTGTTTGTAGGACACTGCCGTTGCGTAATTGGCTGCCGGGACTCGTACAAAAAAGCCGTCAATTCACTTTACGGTATACAAAGTGCTTTGATAGGTCCTGCCGGTGTTACGTCAAATGCGCCGATTATTATCATGGTGATGATATAATAATAATCCTCGCATTTGACAAAGCGCCTTATCGCGTCTTCGAGACGTCTCAAAGCGCTTCACCGGATACACTGTAAAGTGAATTGACCGTATATTTTGCGGGCGAAACGCGGCAGCCAATTGCGCACAGCAGTGGTGATGATGATGATGATTCCCAGTGGAAAGCTTTTCGAGGATACGGGCAGAAGATCAGTGTGTGTCGACGTGTGTTCAATCCTCAGAGTTTGATCGTCACGAGCTGCTGATCTACGAGGAGATGGCAAAGATGCCTCCGTTTCAGAGAAAGACTCTGGTCCTGATTGGAGCCCAAGGGGTTGGGAGGAGAAGCTTGAAAAACAGACTAATCTTGTCAGAGCCCAAGCGCTTTGGAACAACCATCCCTTGTAAGTCTCTGCGGTATTTTGTGTTTTGTTCATGTTCGTGTGACGCCGCTGTGCGCAATTGGCTGCCGCGTTTCGCCCAACAAAATACGCAGTCAATTCACTCTACAGTATGTTCTGTGAAGCGCTTTGAGACGTCTTACCGCTCGCTCGCCGAAGTAGTGTTTCCAATCGATTAAACTGTTGTTGACTCCCGAGTTGCCCGAATGGTTGACATGAACGGCTGACGTTTCTTTCCCCGCAGTCACCTCTCGTAAGCCGAAGGACGATGAAAAGGATGGTCAGGTGTACACCTTCGTGTCTCGCAACGAAATGGAAAACGATATCAAAGGTGGGCGTTACCTGGAGCACGGCGAATATGAAGGGAATCTTTACGGCACCAAGATTGACTCGATCCACAGAGTCGTGGAATCCGGAAAGATTTGCATCTTGGATGTGAACCCACAGGTAGGGTAAGCCGGGGTTGTGGGGGGGTGGTGGTGGTGGGGGGGGTGTGGCGTAGGATATTGCTTTGTGGGTGTCAGATCCTGCAGGTCCCTCGTGCCCTCCGTTCCCACCATTGGTAGCCGCACTGCCCCGAAACTCTGGAACATTCTCCTCCGCCTTGCCCCCTTCTTTGCCCCTTCTTCAGATCGCACCTGAAAACCTTCCTCTTCGGCCATGCCTATGGTCTCCCTCCACCTCCAGCTCCCCCTCCCCCCCGGCTTGGCGTGGGGGGCTCCGTCACTGTCAAGTGCTCCGGGACGCTACGCTGTGTGAGGGAGGGCGCTGTGTAAATGCAAGTTGTTGTGGTTGTTATCAAATCGGCCACCACGTTTGCCTGCAAAACACGCAGAAGAAGTCGTTGCGTTGGCCGTGAATTCCGTGACGCGACTCGAGACCTCGTGAGGCCAGGAATATTCTTAACGACTACTTCACGGCTCGCTTTGGGATTCGGACAGACTTTCTAAGTAGCTTTGTGATAACCCGTTGCTGGGTGGGGGACATTGTAATGGTGTAACCCTTAATCTCTCCGGGTCTGTGTCTTTCGAAGGCTTTGAAGGTCCTAAGGACATCTGAATTCATGCCCTACGTGGTTTTCATTGAGGCCCCAGATTTGGATACTCTCCGAGCTATGCACAAGGCAGCCATCGACGCTGGAGTCACCACCAAACAGCTAACCGTAAGCGTTGATTGTGTCGAAATATCATTAAAGGATTACTATTATTATTTTATTGTTACTATTATTATAAATACAAAGCTCTGAAACTTGCAGTTGTAATTTTCCATAAACGTTTCACCCCCCACCCCCCCCCCCCACCCCACCCCCACCCCAAAAAAGGACACGGATTTGAAGAAAACAGTGGATGAAAGCTGCAGAATTCATCGATGCTATAATCACTACTTCGACTACGTCATTGGGAATGATAATCTGGACAAGGCTTTTCACAAACTCCAGTCAACTATGGAGAAACTGTGCATAGACCCCCAGTGGGTGCCAGTTAGCTGGGTTTACTAAACGCATCCGGAAGACGATGGAGTCTGGTTGGAATTGGAACAAAAACATCAACCTTGTAGAAAAGAAGTCCTATGGAGAATTACCAGCGAATTTGAAAAGGTTACAGCTGGGCACAGTCGGTTGGCCTTAGCCCTCATATTGTTCTGGTTATCTCAGTCCGATGGTTCAATAAAAAGGGTGTTTTTTTTTTAAGGAGAAAAGTCTTTAGTCTCCTGACACCACGTTGGTGTCGGGAAACCCAGTACAGTTCGGAGGCAGTAATCAAAGCGTGTTTTATTTGAACTCGAACCCGTTTCACTTCGATGGGGGAGTTTATTGACTCAACAAATTTCTGGGTTTATCAAATAGATTTCATGAGATTAGTGAGTTGTTGTGAGTATCACCCAGACGGCCCCCTATTTTGTTGCATTCCTTCCAAGTGAGAACAGCAGTCTTGTGATCTGCGTTCAAACTCGGAGATTCAGGTTTGTGCTCAATTCAATGTTTACCCACCAGGTGCTTGGTTTAAAAAGTCTCTTTTCTGACCTGCTTTACAATGACATATGTGCAAGTAAAGAAGGTCAGACGTCACATGGGATTCATCCATCTCCTGATTTGTTTTATTCGTCTCCAAGGATCACTCCATCGGGGTAGAGGACAGGGTAGCGAGAAATCCCACCTGGGTCTAGATTCAGTGGCATTTCAGTGTCCAGAAATTTGCAAATTGCCCACAAAACAGGCAGTTTAATTCACTTTACAGTGTATCCTGTGCAGCGCTTCGAGATGTCTCAATGACGTGATAAGGCGCTATATCAAATGCAAGGATTATTATTATTATTAATTGGCAAATTGAATCATAAAGTTGGTTTTTCTCTAGTCTCTTAAAGGGAACTTGGAGGGAATCAGTTTCAAAAGCAAAGCTTTTATCCCAGACTTGCCAAAGAACTTGCTGAATCCTAGACTCTCCTAAATGCTATGAAATGAGAGTAAAACCCAGAGCCAGGTGGAATTTAATTCCCCCACCCCGTGTCTCTGCATTGCCAACCTTTTGACTGCTACGTACAAATTATCAATCCAGGATTCGAAAGGATGTACCGCCTTTGCTCTCAAGTGGAAGGTGATTTGGTCCAATTTGATTTAAATGGGACGAGCTGGGCTTAATCTTGCTCACCAATTAAAAAAATATCTGCTTCCAGACACGAGACGACTGCAACACCAATGGTCAAACCGAGATAGAAATGTTCCAGAACCACAGATTAGCTTTTTCTTCAAGAAACACTCACACGCTCGTACGATCGCGGACTTAGCTGGCCAGTAGACCGACCCATTACAGGGGCGGAAGAAGGCAAGGTACGATGTGATATTTATCGCGTCCGATATTTTCCGTTGACTTCAGAAACATTCCATGCCTTGACTTTTTTTTAAAAAAAATGATGATTAAAGTAAATATTTGGAGTTGGCGTTTCATCCTTTTAATTAAAAAAAAGTGTCTGTTTAGAGAGTATTTGTGAGGTATCATAGCTGCTGACTTGAGAAAAAAAATTCTATTAATATTTTAGAGGCCATCCCTATATATTTATTTCACAGAGATTCTCTGTACAGTTTCCCTCGGTATATTTAAGATTGCTATTGGATGTGCTCTATACCTGCCAGTCTGTAGCTGTTAGGTACAGGTTGGTGTGGATTATTTTTTATAGGAAAGACAAGGGAAGGGAAGGCAGGCTTTAAGAATTAAACGGTATTAATATAAGTAGAACAATATCCTTGGTTAATTTAGTTTTGTAACGTTTGTAAGTGCAACCCAATAAACAAAGGTGCTGTCTCCGCTTGTTAAAACAAATAGATGTCCTCCCTCTGGATCCATGGGAAATGATATAATATATTGCAGTTTTGTTGTTGTTAATAAATCCCTGAGGAACGGAGGGGTGGGGGGGGGGGGGGTGGGGGGGTGGGGAAGCTTTTAAAAAGTCTTGTTTTTTTTATTGCATTTTTAACTTTGTAAAAGATTTAGGAAAAAAACTATTCTATGTGTAACACGTGAAGGAATTAATGCTACGTGGTTAGGGGTGTGGGAAGGGAGCCAATTTCTAGGTTTTGATGTGTAGGAGATGAGAGGTAATGTGCATTTTATTGCTGAACGCAGAGGAAAACATGTCCGTGTGGCTTTTTTTTAATAAAAATGTTTTGAACGCGCCTTGCTAAAGTGAAGACGGAACATCTAAAATAAAAACCGAAGTCGCTGGGAAGACCCGGCAGGTCAGACAGCATCTATGGAGAAAGGAAAGTTAATTAACGTTTCAGGTCAATGAACTGAAATGTTATCTCGCTTTTCTCTCTCCATAGAGCATATTATTTTTCAAAAAAATAGATTTATATATTAGGCAATAAATTCACCATGTATAGCTGAGTCACGCATTCCTGGGAAGTGGGTAAAGTTTGGAGCGAGAGAAATACAAACTTTTTCCCAGTTGTTTTAATGGCGATCGCTTGACACAAGATCACAAGATCGGTTTGAGCGAAGACCTTCCCATCACGACATCCCATCACATTTTCTAAACGCATCCTGGCCTCGACCACCCTTCCTGGTGTCCCTTTTTGATTGCTCTTTGTGAATCTAACTTACAGCTTCGTTACGGAGGAATCCTGTTAGAAATTGGCATTTATTGAGTATTTAATGTCCACCTGAACAGGCACAGATGTACACAGTATAGAGCTTTAACGGCTCATCCGCAGGGCGCTGCCTGCAATGGGGTAGCACTTGCCCCTAACACTGTGAGCTCAAAGCGCCTAAGATTGGGCTCGAACCCACATCTTTGTATGTGACTCAGAGGTGAGAATGCCACCATCTGAGCCGGCCTGAAAAGGCACTACTGCATATCATGCCGGAATGATTATAATTATTATTAGTATTAATAGCAATTATTTCCAACCTTATATCTATTCCCCTATTTATAATCGATATAATATATGACCATGGCAATTGTACATTACCTCTCACCGTTAGTTTAAATGGTTTGCCTTTTACTCGATCAATTATTTTCCTGTATGACACGGACATTGTGTGTGTGTGTGTGTGTGTGTCAGTAGTCTGGGCGAGATTGCACTTTGCCAGTCAAAACTCGAGTCAAAATATTTTTCTTGGTCTGTGACCGAAAAGTATCGTCCATCTGTTACGCAGGTGAATTGCTTGCATCGTGACTGTGACGTTGACTGCTTTTTTTTTTGTAACCCCAAAACCCGCCCGTTTCATTCTGAACAGTGTTTTAAGTCGTCGTATTTTCTAAACGATTCCAATGGGGAAAATGGTGCATAAAGTTTGAGTCTTTCCATGACGTGGATAAGAATATATATTGTGTATGTAGTGTACAGTATTATATATCCAGTTGTATGGTAATTTGTCACTCGATAAGCAATAGCCTTGGATTGATTTTTTAAAAGAAAAGAAGGATATAATCTATATTAAATTTTGTTCGTCTGTGAAAATTTATTTGGTGAAGTATAACACCCAGGGAACACATTCTTTGGGTTAATTATTCATTCATTGTGTCTACTCAAAAAAAAACTGCCTTGACACCTCGGTTTTTTCATAAGTCATAAAATATGCTGGAGATTTTACTTGGTTTAACAATGCAAAGCATCTCACTGTCTGCTGTTATTTTCTGATACGTTGATGTAATTTTCTAATTCTAAATTAAAATGAAGTCAAAATCTCACCAAAAAATCATCTTGGAGTTTTTCTTTATAAAATAGTCGTTTATTTAAGACTATAATGGGCAATAAGGAAATGGCAAGCTTGTGGAGTGAATAATTTGCTTTTGTTTTCACAGTAGAGGAAGAGGACAAAATGCCAGCGGTATAAGGGAACCTAAAAATAAGCCAAAGAGAAGTACTAAACGGATTTGATATTAATAAAAAAAATCTAATGAAGAAAATAATGGGACTAAAGATAGACAAATCTCCAGGACCTGATAAATTCCATCCCAGGGTATTCAAAGAATAGCCGAGGAAATTGCAAATTCATTAGTCATAATTTTCCAAAGCGCTCTATATATTAAGGAATTGTGCCCTTGGATTGGAGAAATGCAAATCTCACTCCATATTTAAGAAGGGAGGAAGAAACCAGGTAACTGGTGAATTTTTTGAGGAGATCACTAACATGGTGGATAAGAGAGTATCTGTAGATGTCATCTACTTGAACTTCCAGAAGGCATATGATAAGGTTCCACATAAGAGGTTATTAGTAAAAATAAAAGAGCTTAGAATCGCAGGTAACCTTGCGACGTGGCTTGGTAATTGGGTAGTAGGCAGGAAGCAGAGAGTAGGGATAGGGGGAGGACATGACGAGAAGTGTTCCCCAGGGACTGTACTGGGATTCCAGGTTTTCATACACTGCTATGCACAATTAGCTGCCGTGCTTCGCTCACAGTATATACAGTCAAGTCACTTTACAGTGTATACAGAAGACTTGATAAGGTGCTGCATCAAATGCAAGGATTATTATTATTAAAGGCTCAAAGCTTCTGTCGCAGTTAGCACCAGTTGATCATACTTCATGGGTTCATTGTGATTTCGATGACAAACATGCTCCCGGTGTTGTTTTCAGAAAAAGATAAGTGATCTGGAGACACAATCACTGGAGACCACGTCAACAAGAGTCTTTGGAAGTGATGGAGTCAAATATTGTCAGGAATAGGATGTACTTTGGAGTTGTGTTGTTCACAGTGACTTTACTCACATATTATTTAATGCCATTTCCTTCACCGACCATTCTTAAAGGTCAATTTTCAGAAAATTCCTAAAACATGGATTTGTCCGTCGCAGAGAAAAACAAGACAACTAGAGCAGGTCAAGGGACAAACTCTGTTATCGCTTCCAAAGGATTTGGGATAATTAATTCCATAGGGCAATCAAATGGGGGAAAATGCCTGTGACGTCGTGTGAGTTTGTGTGTGTGTTTTGTTTGGGCAAACAATGAGGAGCGGGGATAAGAATAATAACAGCGAAACCGTCTTGTAGAACCAGGGGATTGACGAGGACATGCTTTGTTTACAACTGTTAGGGGATCGGACTCGTTTGCATCCGAGCCTGCACCCAGAAAATAAGTTCAAGCTTGACAAACCGAAAGCATATTAAGCGTACGAATAATGTCGGTTATATAAAATGAATGCAATATAAAATAACAGAGCAATGCCACCGGTCCTTCTCCAGTCTGCCCTGGACAGATCTCTAAAGACCACCCCTTAGCCCAAGTTTATATACCTTTTGTTTCTTTTGGTTTTTTTTTTGTCTGGTGGGCCCCGACAACTTGTTTGCACCAGTTTCAGTCTGACTTATTTGGGGCGTGTTTTTCACTATTCTGCCTGCTTAATCAGAACACTTCCTTATCTAAAACTAATAGAAAGAGGAGGCTAATCAGGACATACAAGTATATAATACAGATATACATTCCAACACAACCGGGTTTCCATTGATAGCGATGCCTTCAGTGTGTCAGTGTCAACAGGAAGATACATGACGATTAACGATTTCCACGCATTGTTGCTGCAGAGGGTTAGAAGTGGGCGGCAGACTTTCGCTGAGGGGAAGGCGCTAACCCGATTGAACTGTGTGCTCTCCCCAAAGACAGTGAGCGAGACTTGTGCAGATTGGCCTCAATTCTGCGTGGTGTTGAGGCTCCCGATAGAATAGGTCTCATTTACTTATAGGGCAAAAGTGCCGGATGACTGGGAATCCCTTGTTCCCTGTGGGAGGACATCCCAAGA